GAACCTTTTCCAGGCAGAATTGCTCAGGGATTTTTAGACTTCCATTCTGGAAAAGAGGGGATAGTTATTTTGGTGTGATTGTGGTCTTGTGGTTAGACCTTGTGACGGGGGCCTCAGCCAAAGGGTTCAAATTTTTTTCCAAGCTTTTCCCTCACAACTTGAGTTAATCCGAAACGTTGCTTTTAGGCCACTGGACATGCTTTTCTATATGCCTGTGTTTGGCTGTTTGGATTGAAGGCCCAGCAAGGGAAGGCACCGTCGCCCATCTGATATGGGCAGGCCTCTACAATTTTATTCCCTAACCAGGACATGACAAACTATGGCCCATAGACCAAAACTGGCTTGCCACCTGCTTTTGTCTGGCCAGTGAGCTAAGAATGACTTTTTATTATCATTATTAATAATGTTTTTTGAGACAGGGTCTCATTTTGTCACCCAGAGTAGAGTGCAGTAGTACAATCATGGCTCCTGCAGCCTCAGACTCCTAGGCTCTAGCAATCCTCCTGCTTCAGCCTCCTGAGTAGCTGGAACCTACAGGCATGTGCCACAAGCATGTATCATCACGTCCAGCTAACTTTTTTTATTTTTGTAGAGTCTTGCTGTTGTTGCCCAGGCTGGTCTGGAACTCCTGGCCTTCAGCAATTCTCTGGCCTTGGCCTTCCAAAGCGTTGGGACTACAGGCCTGAGCCGCCGCACCCAGCACTTTTATTATTTTTAAATGGTTGAAACACATCAAGAGAGGAATAATATTTTCTGACACAGGAAAATGATATGAAATTCACATTTCAGTGTCTATAAATAAGGTTTTATTGGAGCACAGCCATGATACAAGACATACCCTCACTGCCTGTGGCTGCTTTCGAGTTACGAGGGCTGAGTCGAGTAGTTATGACAGAGATCGTATGGGCCGCAAAGCCTAAGATATTTGCTGTCTGGCGCTTTACGGAAAAGGTTTGCCGGCCCTGCCCTGAACAAATAAGGGGACAAATTCCACTTGCCCGTCCATCTGTGGAGCAGAGTCACTGAAAGGAAATACTAGAAATACTGGAAACCACATGGGTGTTTTATCAAGGATGTGAAGTTTCCTGGCAACTTCGTTGCCTCATCATCATCATCATCATCATCATCATCATCATCATCATCATCTGTCCTTTAAGTTTGCTTCTTGTTTAGAAAAGAAATGTATACAGAGCCCTCAGTAGCGGCTGTAAGGGGGCAGGTTCTCGGAGCAGCTCATCCTCGACATTCTTGCCGCTGATGGAAGATTCTTGAGGATGAAGGCCCCTCTGTGGGAGCAGGCTCCATCTGTCTGGCTTTAGTAGATGCCAGTTCCTGCTAAGACTAATTCCTAAAGGAGCCTCTCCTCATTTTCCTTTTCTCCCTGTTTTCATTGGGGGGAAGTAGAAGAGGAGAAAAAGAAATTAGAGATGCTTACCTTTTTCTTTTTACTGGTAATTTAACAGTCTTTTCAGCTGCTTTGATTCCTGTCGGGCCGTTGGTGTTGTATGTATTTCAAGATTTGCTCACAGGTCCAAAGCTTGACTTAAGCTCCCTGAGATGTATCATAAAATATGATGTGGGGAAAAACCCTAATGGGCCATGATCAGAACATTATTATTCAACAAAGGATGAAATGCTTAAGCCAAGATGGCCTTCTTTCTTTCTTTCCTTTTTTTTTTTTTTTAAAAGAAAGTTGAGCAGACTCCCTTCCAACAGTTTTCAATGTAGGAATTCCCACAGCCCCATGTGATTGCAGTTTGTTGAAAAGTTTAATGTTTTTGTAGGCAATTCATAATTTCCACGTTGAACAGCCTAAGAGGAAGAGAGCTGGAGCCCACTGTTGTTTTTATAGTGGGATGGTGGGAACTTTTTTTTTCCCTCCCCCAAAAGGATATAAAACCAAGTCAGATGGTTGGGAAAACGTGGCACAGGGTTCCAGCCCTTTTGTAAATCTGAGATGCCCCCTCCTTCAGGTCTTCCTTTAGGACCTAACAGAATAGAATTTCCTGCTGCTTAATGTCTCCAGGAAGGAAAAAATTTTCCTCTAGGCTGTAATAGTACCTAATTTCCTTTTTCTTCCCTTTATTTATTTATTTTCCCTATTAATAAGGACCAATTGTAGAAGATGAGGGAAGCTGGGAAACCCATCACTTTTGGAGAAGGTTAATAGCTTCCTTTAGAAAATCCTGACATAATACTTATTTCCCCAAAAGGCACTTCATCAGCCTGAATGCCAGTTAAGATTCAAGGAACGGGCTTGGATTTGTGTGTACCCAGCGGTTCTGTGGCATCAAGTTGCACTGGGAAGGAGAGTTTGGGGCTGTCACTGCGGAGTCCCTGCAAGTCAGCAGTACCAGGGCTGTCTTCCTGCACCATCTGGATTTGCTTAGCTCTCTCTGGGCAGTGGGGCCGAGTCTCATTTCCTCCAACAGTAATGTTATATAGGCAATGATCCTGAGCTGCCCTAACATAATTGAAAATTATGTGTATTGTAGGCTTGGAGCGCTGAAATGTAGGCTCATAAAAATATGTGGTGCAGGTAGCCTATGGAGATTGGATGTGGCACACAATGAAGCTTTTATGTAAAGTAAGAATTATAAGTCTCCATGTTAATATTGTATTATGAGTATGACAGTTCCTGGGTGGGTCCTCAGGGCAGGTCTGTCACCTTCAACAAAGCCCAAGTTTCCTAATTTGACAGAGCTAGTATTTGGATGTAATCAAATCAGTTTTGCAGGTGGTCAAAGATGAAAACTTGTCCACCAACGTAGCTCTCCCCACTGAGGGATAGCTTGGGGTGTAGATGGGTTCGACTCCATTTGGCGTTTTTGTTCACTGGTTTTTATGAGATGGAGAGGTGAGTGTTCGTGGGTGTCCACTTTGGTTGGCCTCAAGGAAATGACTCTATTGAGTGGTTTTGACCAATGCAGCGCATATAGTTATGTGGTAAGTGAGAATGGGAAGAAGTCGGGGTGAGACGGGGCAGTCAGATTCCCAGAGCCCTCTGGCCTGGGTTACAGATGGAGACTCTGGAAATATTTACTTCAGTGGTTCTCAACTTGAGATGATACTGCTCCCAGAGAAGGTAATTGGAAGTGGTAAGATGGTAAGGGTGACAGAGGGGTTCCTGTATTTACTGTCTGGGGGCTTGGAGTCCTAGAAATCCTTCAGTGTTTGGGACAGACTCCCTATCTAATACCCTGTGACAGATAGGACAACTCCTTCAGTACTCAGATGAAAAAACCAGAGATCGCAGAAGCAAGGGGATTCAATGCAGGGTCTTGTGGCGAGTTACAGACACAACGAGACTAATATCTAGGTTGCTCACCATGGGAGGCCTCTGGGTGAAAGCTCTGAATTTGTAGCAGACCCACCCACCTTGTATAGATCCTAGACATCGTGGGAAAATCGACTGTGCACTTTGGCAGGTAGTTCTTGGGCAGTGATCTTTCAGCTTTAAGTATAACCAAATTTGGTTTGAATTTACCAAGCCGTCGTATCTTTGAGGAACTCGTCGGCTGACTTGTGGATGGCTTTGGCACTTCTGTCTCGTGGAATTTGTGCAAACTATTCTGTATTATCCTTTCCTGTCTTTTTTCTTTCTATTGAAATTGTTCTGACCATCAAGACCTAACTCTGTGCAGCCTTCCCCAGTCTCGTGTCTCAGAAATTCTGTCATCTTTCTTGGCATTTCCTGAGTTCCTGAGTTCCTGAGTCTCTGTCACAGTGTCACCATATTCTGTCTTGATTTACCTGTGTCTGTAAGGCTCCTCATGCTGGCACAAGCTCCGTGAGAGCAGACATCTTTGTATCTCCTAATGCTTGTCACAGCCTGTACACAAAGCAAGTAGTACTCAGTGTTCATTGAGTAAAGTTTTCCATAGAATTACTATTAAAACCAGCCATGTATTTTGCTTGAGGAGGTCTCCAAAATGACCAAAGTGTCTCCTTATATCCCCTCCAAGCATTCATTAACTGATGGATTAGTGAGTTGGCCGTGGGAAACATAAAGGCTCGTCTCCATGTGCTTCTAAGCATTGTGTCTAAGTTCCGTTTGGTTTCCTGAGTGAAACTGTCATAATGTTACCAACGGAAGTTAAATGCCTAAGAGTTTCTTATACATGGGCTGAGTACGCCTGTGACTGGGGAAGCCACCTCACCTCATTTTACCTTGTCTGCAAAATGAGGAACTGGGGCAACTCATCCTTCAAATCTCACTGAAAGCTAATGGATTGCTTTTGACAGAAGTAGCTCCCTTGGGCCGTATATTCATTTCCTAGTTTGGAGGAAGGTGGGGACAGACAGAATTGACTTACACCTTTATTTTTATGTCTACGGTAAACCCGTGCATACTAAAGCATTCCTCTGGTCTTTTGAGGTGAGTGTATACATTGTGTCTGGCACCGTGCATCTTTTACCAAGAAGTAATTTTTGTTGAGTAAACTTGGGTTGTGTGAGGAACTGCATGCTCACCGTACTCAAATAGCTTTTGCTACCTAAAGGATAGCTGCTCACATGTACTTGACTTCCTTTAAAGTGAAGGATGATGACATTTGAAAAACAGAGGTTGAGAAGGAGCAGATTTGGAATTGATGGTTTCCTAGGACACTTCTGGCTTGAGATTTGTGTTTTACTTCCTTTGGAATAGCTCTGTATTCCTCTCCCTCCCCACCTCTCCCACTGCCCTCCACTCCCCACCCAATTAAGGTAGTAGCAATGAAATCATTTTTTTCTGAAGCTACCCTGTAGTTTGAATGCAAAGATAAAAAATACAGTTGCTAGTAACATTAATCTTCTATATGTGTACCTGTTGAACTTGAGCTCTAAGGAAGAACCTATTGGTATCGCATGCTTTTTTTTTTTTTTTTTTAAATGATTATTTGCATGCTTGTATGTTTTTTAGTTTCTGACCCATGTCACAGTTATTGCTTGGGCTAGCTGTTCTGCATTTACTTTCTGAATTCATTGTTTTCCATTTCACTCTTGTTTCCTCTCGCCAGTATCTCCAGATGAAATGGCCACTGCTTGATGTCCAGGCAGGGAGCCTGCAGAGTAGACAAGCCCTCAAGGATGCCCGGTCCCCATCGCCGGCACACATTGTCGTAAGTAACCTCCCAGAGATGATGGCTTCCTTGATTGAGGGGGTGAAAAAGAAAATGCTTTTTTGATGATAACAGGCCTTATTTGTCATTTTTCTCTTTCTTTAAACAAAATTTCTTTGGAAATATTCTTGGATATAGCTTATATCTATAAGGTATTCATTTTCTGCTATTGGACCTTAATGACTGTAACCTACCCAGAAATTTTACAAACCTTTCCTCCACTCTTTTCCATGTATTCGGTTAGAATCTAGCCTTGCGGGCTCTAGTTTATGGGACACAATCACCATGGTATGGAGGAGACTAGAAGTGGTATCAAAGCAGTTATAAAAATACATTCAGGGGAGGTGAGGTGAAGAAGAGGGAATTAGAAAACTCAAAAGGGGGTCCTGGATTTGAAACTTGCCTATTATCGTCTCCCCCAATTTATCTTAATATTTGTTGGTAACATTCTACACTAACATTAGACAAATGTCATCTGGGCTGGCTTGATTTGTAAACCTAGAGTAGAAATGAACTCAGAAAGGCTAAAATGGAATTTAATCTATACATCTATGACTTTGAAAGTATGTGGGTTCGATAGAGAAAACATTTGTTTTTAGTACTAAGAGACTACAAGTGTGTGTCTACATATATTTTTAATGTATTTTCTTAGGGCTTCGTAGGCTCTAAGAGTGGAATTTATAAACTAACCTCTTGAGAAGATAGCTCAGCCTTATTTGAAGATTCCCTTCTATATATCATGAGCTGGACTTCATGCTTTTGAAATAATTACTGGAAGGCACATTTTTATAATGAATCCATCCATGACAGGTAGAATTATGCAAAGCGTGAATCAATCATGTATTTTTCATTGAAGTATCACAAGATGTTAATCATAAATACATTTTACCTCTATATTGTAATTTCTAAAAATCGCAAAACAAGTTTCTTAAGTAGAAAAATCTTAAGATGCATTCTTCCATTTTGGGCTAACTGCCTCCTTATTTTGGAGCTTGCTGTAACTGAACATGTGTTATTTAATGAGTTATACCTCTCTCATATGTGTGTGTATATATCACAAAATAACTTATTTTTGTAAAACCATATTTTGAGTCATCATTTGTGACAATGTCTTCTTTTCTATGGTATAAACGAGGCATGTAGAAAGAAGATTGACATTTGCTAGAAGCTTCCCCTTTCTTCCAACTCCACAATAAAATGGATGCTCATAATTACGTCTGCTCCTATAAGGTCAAGATTTCAGGGCTGGAAGTGACCTTAGATCATTTAGGCCCAACGTGCCCTCAGAAAAGGAAACTGAGGCCCAGAGATGCCTTAAGTGAATTGCCCAATGTCACACGCTGAGTCAGTGGCCAGAGCAAGGCCTGGATCCAGTTCTCTGCTCCCTTTCTAGAGCCTTGTGGTGTCTTCTCTCCTACGGGAGGTGAAAGTAACTTGCTGTGGTTGGTTCTGTTTTGCTGACTGTAAATTGGGTCATGGTCAGGGACAGTGCATAGGTATAAAGAAGTTGCTAGTTGGGGGTTCTAATGCAGGTTTCTTTGAAAGTGAATGCCCTGTTAAAAAAAAATTCATAACAAACATACAGAGATTTTTTAAAAAAGCGTGACAGTTCTAGACACCTAGAGAATAAAGTGAAGAAGCCTGTTTCACTTTTCCCGCCTCCCTGAATTTCCCAGCGTGGTCCAGGCTGTGAAATTTATTTCTCTGCTTTTGGCAATGGTTGATGGGAATTTCCCACATTTATTTTTTAGCTACAGAGAAAGGACATTATCTTTAAAATCTCTTCGTTGTTTTCTCTCTTTGAGTGAGGAGAGAATATGCGAATCCTGGCAGTAGTTCAGAGTGGACACAGCCCCTGTGTTTGTGGCATAGGCTGTGTGGGCCCCATGCCAGGGGGCATTACCCCCGTGCAAGAGTGGGGATACGTCCATTTGGATAGAGCAATGATTCTCCACCCCAAATTCCATAAGAGCAGTTGCCGAAACTTAGGCCCTAAGCATCTCATTTTCCTATGTAGAAGTTAATGGTCTGGAGGAGATGGCAAAACATTCCTTCCAGAGCCTGTGTGGATTTTGGCCAGGGGTGCAGCAGGGGGGCTCAGGCCCCTTCTTCCTCTGCTGTGTCTGTCTTAGCAGGTGTGTTGACCCACAGCAACTCCCCTGGGGCATACACACCATCTTGTAGTTGGGGACCTTTGTCCAAAGCAGCCACAGCTGGCAACTGTCCTCCAATCTTTTGTGCTTTCTGCTGTGCTAAAGGGACCTGGGAATGGCCATTGCCTAGAGGGGATGGGCTGGTGGAGGAAGGTGGGCTCTGGGAGCTGGGGAGAAGGAAAAAGCCATGAACTTGGACAAAAGGACAAATGTGGTTTACAGTTGTGAAATACTTGAATGCTTGTCATGAATGGCGACTTTGGTTCTATCAGTCAGCCCTGTGATGGGGCTTTTCTGCAGTCTGCACCTGACACCAGGGGTGAGAAGGAGGATGTCTGGAGGGGGAGGAATTATTTGAGGGAGATAGGAAAGTAGAGTGGAAGAAAGGCCGTGTGTTGTAGACCTCCATCCACCTGGTCACCTCTAGTTTTGGGGATTGAGGATGCATACACCTTGAGACTACAGATTTATGATTATATTTTTGCTGAATGTAAGGCAATGTGCCAACCAAAACCAGCTGTACCTTGGCTGGTACGGTGTGTCTGTGTTTGTAAAGGGCGCATTCTGAATGGTGGCTGATACATCATTTGGGTCTTTGTAGAGTCAAACATCGGCCAGAGGGTCTGGTTCTTGTTTGGAGTTGCTGATGAAGGGCTAACTTTTCTGCAGACACTTGGGGCTCTTGCCCACACTTTGCTTTTCATTCTTTTTAGTAAGACGTTGTCACATCACAGTGTTTCATCAGACATGTTTCAAAATAATTGTCTAAGGATTGCTTCCTAATTTCTCCGAAATTTGGAATTGTTGTAACTTTTGGGCCAAGCTATTTCATAATTATTTCTACTGTCTTGCTTGGAGAATTAGGGATGTATTCAGTGTTTATTATTAGTCATTCGAAACTACAACTTTCACAGATTGCTAAGAAGAATAACTTTTTCTAGTACCCATTTGGGGCAGAATCTTCACGTGGAAATTGAGAGCATTTCGCTGGACTACTTTAATCTGATTGGATTATTTTCATGTGGTATGTGGGTTACCACATTAGAAAAAATTGATGTGTAGAATAAATGTTCTTAACAAGTGGAGGTCAACTTATCAAATGATATTTCAATTAACAATAGACTCCACAAATTTTAGTTCCTGTAGCTGATATAGCATCTCGTTTGTTACAATCCAGTGATTCCTAATCTGTGTTCAGAGGAGACAGGAAATTGATTCCAACAGGGATGATGTCTTCATTGGCTGGCCCCAAACTGGGAGTTTATACAAGGCATTAGTCTTTGCCTTCCTCCTCCCCACCTTCCCTCTCCCTTCTTCCCTCCCCACATCCCCCAACAAATTCATGGACTTCTTAACAACTCGGAGACATTAGCCACAAGTTCCAAGACACCCCCACCCCCCAGCCTCCCCAATCCTATTTTTGCATTCACATAACTAAGCTCTTTTTCTTTCTTGGTGGAGTTTTGAAATTTATATTTTTAATTCTTTGCTCCCTTTTTCCCTCTTACAAAATGAGGGCCAAGCAGCTAAGTTGTGCTGAGTGGTAGAGTTTGAGTCAGTCTTGGCTGGTAAGCTGTGGGGTTAGGAGCCGCTCCCTGGATACCACCTCCGGTGTCTGTGCTGTACAAAGACTTTCATTTAGCCTCCTTTGTATCCAGCAAAAAAAGATTCTGTACCCCAAATGGTGGTATTTTGGTATAGTATATGTCTTACAAAATGGCAAAAGGCTTCAAAAGTTCCTACAGTTTTATCTTGGGGGTTTCCTTTTGAAGTCGATGTAGAATTTTACCTTGGGGTGGATTTTTTGTGCTTCTTGGTCTGGTGTGTTTTGTTGTGTAATGAGCATGGAGGTGTGGGATAAGAAAGCAGACTGAATCCTGAGGAACAAAGCCTGCCAGACTGTGGTGGTGTACTTTTCTTGTTGTTATTGCTTAAATGCTGCAAGAGAGTGGAAAACTCTTACGAAATAATGCACGATGGGTAGAGCTTCAGAGAAAGTCTCTGCCATCTACCCTGTGCATTTTCAAGGAAGCTCAGAGGGCATGCTGAACCTTTGCTTTTTGTTTCTGAAGAGTTCAGGGGAGCCTACCCATAATTAATTTTTTAAAACACTACCTAGAGAGCACCCTCTTGGTTATTAAACACATGTGTTGTTTCGATGGGATGTTTGACCTGGATTCTGGATGCTTGCTGGGATGTGGCATGTGTTGGGAGGCGCTCTGCTGCCTGCTGAGCACCAGCAAAGTCACGGTGGCCCCTACCTCTGTGGGAGGCCCTGCGCCAGGTGCCCTCAAAGAGTAGAGGGCCCATGAGGCTATGACCAGGGGGACCTGATTTCAGCTGAGAAGTTGGTGGGGATTACAGGCCTGGGCGGCTCCCTGAGGAAATTGCATTAAAAGTGAGATCTGAAGACTTGATTGGGGTTGGCCCCGTGAAGGAACAGGAGAAGGGATGGGGAGTGTGCAGAAGCAAACACATGTATGAAAGTCCTCAAGGGAAAAGTGCTTGGTTTGGACAGAGGCAGGAAATCAGGTAGGAGGCTAGAGGTTGGGCAGGGCTCCGGGAGAGTGACGTGGGGTGCAGCATATGGTGAGGATTTGACACTGGGGAGTCACTTGAGCAGGTTGGCTGTTTCAATAGGAGCGTGTGTTAAGCTGGCAGCGGGGATGGTGAAAATAGAGATGTGGAGGAAACAGCAGCGGAGCTTGCAGATAGGTTAGATATTGGCATTGAGGGAGAAAGGAGAGTCAAAGGTAGGTAGCTGGAGACTCTTCACTGAATGGAGAGTATTGGAGGAGGAGCAGGTTTGGGGTGGAAGCGTTGTCTTTTTGGAGAGATTGTATTTGC